ATGCTTAAAGCATTTATAGTCTACTTAGTTAACTGAGTAATAATACCGGATGCTAAGATGAAATCCAACCAATCATTAGGGAAAAAAGCATGGTCTCCATTAATCGTAACATTGCTTCATGCCATTTATGATCTTTAGTTTTTAATTTTTCAGTCTTTGTTGCACCTTTATTCATACAATCTGTTAATGAACGCTTTCTACTATTTATTGGCATCAGCAGTCACCACCTCAGTGTATACAACAAGTAGATTTTACTACAAGCTGCTAATCTGTTAAGTTTTGCATATTTAAACATGATATACTGGGATTACATTAGTACTTACCCATACAATGACTATATCAGACTTGGCGTTCAACCTCTTCTAATACATTCGTAATAACTATGGACTGAATGTTTATATCATATTTTCACTTACCATATTATAAAAGTGTTTCACGTATGATATGCTAGAGTATTTGCATAGAAGCAATGATGATTGTTCAGTTTACATGACTTACTTCAATGTGCTTACTGACGTGGATGAAACGACCTACCTACGAACTTCTAACAATTGACAATGTTATGGAAGTTGTTCTACCATATTATTATTTGTTATTTTTCCCTTGGATTCCTAGTGGAACATAGGGCTTCAGTAGCACAGTTCTACCATATTAGGCTAACATTTTCCAATAACAATCAATACCTTTATTGTAGTTTTAATACTCTTTGAGAAGAATGATACTTTCAAGAAGTGAATTATAGAATTGAGTCTTTCAATAGTAGAAACATCATGTTACATGGGCGTAGAACGCTAACTAATTAAACATTTTATTGTCTTGTTTTAAGCAGGTCTTAGTTTTTTATTCAGGTTAAACCGAAGTGTTGATATTACCTGCACATATGTACATTTTTCAAATAATATCCACCAAAAATTTGTAATATTTGTAAGACTATAGATCAATTTAATTGCTGAAAAGATAACAACCACTCAAATTCATCATTTGAAAGATATCTATCTATTCAGAAATATGGACAGTAAAGTAATCTTTGAAGTAGTTTCAAATCCTTACTAGAAAGTTGACTGCTGCTAAAAATATGAGATATACTTGATGATTAAATCACATTATTGGAAGCTAATCTAACATGTATATAAAACAAATTATTATTGACTTATAAGTAAACATGTTAAAAAAAACTCTACTGTAACACTATTCAGAAAATATCATGATACCTTGAGATGTCACAAGTGTTTTATCATTACAGGGCTATTTTAAGAAAATAAACATTTAATTAGAATCCAACTCTTAGGACTTTCAATAATAACTTGAAAATGATTCTCCAATTGTTATAACAATTCCAAACACTTGAAGAAATGTCATAAAAATGAATATAATGCGGTTTGAAAAAACACACACAGTGAATGTACACAAAAGAAAATCGTCAACACTGGTGAAGAATACACAGCTTATCTTTCAAGTAAAACTTTTAATAACAAAGAAAACTGAGTAAACGCGATAGGAGATATTTCTGAGTGTATACACGAATTCAATGTCTTTCTATATTACAAATGTTAAATTTTAAACTACTACTACTGCTACTACTACTACTACTACTACTACTATTACTACTACTATTACTACTACTATAGCGACAATCCATATGAGGCATTTCTGTATACAAACAGTGAAAATAGAAGAAAATTTATTTTTATAAGACAGATTTTTATGAATAAACCGTTTGTCATATATGAAGTCGGCAAAAGAAGATCGGATACAGAAAAAACAAATAGATATATATATATATATATATATCGGCCGATGGTCTGTCTACCAGTAATGATTATTACTATAGTGTAAGAGAAAAAGGTTAACCATTGTTATAATTACCATAACCGTATTAAACATCTACTCTATACTTGGATATTTTGGTGTCAAGGAATTAAAACAAGTAATAGTATACACATATGGTACTAATCATCTGTTTTGCGGAAGAGAGAATATTGTCAAGATAACTTTCCTTGAATATATATATATATATATACATATATTTATACTAAAGATAATAACAGTTAAAAATATCTTCCTAATCCACTTCGTTAACGAGAGAATACACATTGTAATGACAAGTGTAGTGTGTATAACAAAGCACAAAGTAGCCTAAAATCACTAGTAAAAACCGGATAGTTTAGTAAAAGTGATTTCTTAGGAGTTTTAAAGATGAAACAGGTTTACATAGGATTTTTCATATATATATATATATATATATATATATATATATATATATATATATATATATATATGGAGGGAGATACAGAGACAGTGATTCACATATTGAAGATTCTCATAGTAAAATGAAAACATGCATATATAACACTAATCCTAATAATTATGTCAGTGGATTCAATTATTTTCTCAGAATATCTTGTCCATAGAATTAACGAAAAAAAATTTACTATTTTCATCACTGACTACTTATTTAACTGAATTAATTATCTTTTTTTTCTATTGCCTGAATTTTAACAAAATAATCAGCTGATTCGGAATATAATAATGACAGGTAGACATTTTCATTGATTTATTTTTATTACCATATTATATAAGTGATACAAAAAAAATAAATAAATAAAAGCATATTGATAAAAAGAAATAATACTAGAAAATATTTTCTTCAAAGGTGTTTTGTATTCGTCTGTAGTTGACATTGATGAAAAATTATGATGAATAATTTAGGCTAATTATGTAGTGTTTTAAAGGTAATTTTTAAAAAAACATGCCAGTAATTACTTCCTTCTGACGAATCAATGAATATCTTGAACGTAATTCTATATTAGATTTGATTATTTGATTTATAACACACACAGTGATCTAGTATGATTTACTTGATGATGTTTCGAGCATAAATTATCACTGATCATAATCATATCAATGTAATCACACTCCACTTTCGACATTTGATTTTCTATAGTTACATAACTTTATGAGTTGTTTTTATTGGTAGTAAAATTTTCCATATCTCTGGTATAGGTGTCACATCATTTCTATTACATATGTTGAGTGTTGATTCGATGAACAAAGATTCCGCAATCAATCTCTCTCTTCACCTTATTATATTGGACTCAAGCACAGTGGCTTTATCCCATCTTATTGTGTGGTTGTGTTATTGTATGCATAACAATAGCTGAGTATTTTTCTAGATTATTGATCTTATTCGGGTCTATCATTCTGTATTTAGTTAAATTTCTCTGATTGGCTATTCTAATTTACGTCGACTGCGTGACTGATTTGACCTGTATACTTGACCTCATAGTCATTACATGGAATTTGATAGATTAGATTATTTTGCTGAATTGGTTCTTTCGGATCCTTAGGCCAGCTGACAAAGTTTATCACTGAGTGAGTTTGTAGGTTTAAATACCACCCTAATTCCAGCTTTGTTGAGGATTCTATGTAAAGTTTCTGAGGTACCCTCATTGTAGGGTAATACAATAGAGGCTGTGCTCGAAACGTCATCAAGTAAATAATACTAGATCACTGTGTAGTATGGAGTTAAATTTTACCACGGTGCCCAAGTTTTACACCTCAGTTATATTTTCCCAATGAAATAAAGAGAGTAGGACTTTACCAAAGGTGTGTGTGTGTGACTCAAGAAACACTTCTATGACAATCATTCTCGTGTAAATATTAATTCTACCTGTGAATACTTTACTGATTCAAAGAATGGAAATCTTGATGATGTAATGTTTAGTTGTGAACAAAATAGAAAAAAATTTTTTAGATTGAAAATTTCAATGACTCTTACACAGTTTGAAGTGTCGATCTATTTAAACTTTAAGTTACTAAGCATTTTTCATTGAATATATATTTTATCAATCCCTTTCAATCTTTTCAAAAATCTTTCACATATTTTTTAAAGGTGTCATGTACTCTCAGATATTTCTAAAATGTTTTTTTTCAAAAAAACTGTAGTTTTTTAAGCCAATTAAAAAACAAAGAAAAAACATTACACTAGTCAGAAACGGACTTATACGAGAATGTAGCACATTAATATTCTTAGGATACCTATATAGAATTGTATATTTATATACTGGCGCAATAAACTACCCCCATCAAATATTTCACTTTATATTCTGTTTACTGATCAATGCATACTGGAAGTTTGTATACAATAATTATTTCATATAATAATATTCTATAAGAGTGAGTTTGTTGAAATATTATATTCCGTACTGTTTCACACATGTCCTATAACAGTCCGTATTCATCTTCACGCCTACAACATGGACAGAAATAGTATCATCGAACAGTAACCAGTTGCATTTGGCTATTGGTTAGGACTGTATTTTATTAGTACAGTCTACATGGAATACCTTGGAAAATAAAAAACCGGTAAGAACGTCTATACTTTCTGCTGGATAACAAAAAATACTTCACTTTCTTACTGAAATGGTAGGGATAGAAACTCCTATCTAGAATGAAATAACAAGAAGTTAATGTGACGTAATCCTGAAAACATAAAACTGCAGTATCCTCACTTAAAATCCAATAAAAGTAAAGTTTACCAAAAGTTTTTCTAAGAAAAAATGTTAAAAAAAACTCAGTTTCAGTAAGGATGGATAATAACGAACAGTGGAATCGATCAATTTGAGACTTATCAGCTGGATGTATCTGTCTCCCAGTGAATTAAATTCTTCCCACCAGGATTCGGACTAGGGACTCCAAAGCGTTATTCACCACACCACCACCAAGTCACAATAGCCACTTCTTATGCGATGAGTATAGTATCAGTCATTACTATAATTAGAATATAGGTAATATCGAGGCAACCACACAAAAGCCCATACACCAATAGGGACCAGTCAGTTCGTTCCTATCAATGAAGCCGTAATACAAGTAATAATACTGAAGCTGAAAGTTTATTTAAAAATCAATAAATGATAACTGATTATCAAAATATTTGCCAATAAATGATGAATAGTGATATTTTAAGACTTATAGTATTTACTAGGTAAAATTTTACTTACATATTGGAGTAGATTCACTAAATAATCCTTTAGAAAGTTGTGTTTCACTTGTTTCAAAAAATTTTCCGAATTTTGGGATTTGTAAACTTGTTGATGAACTTATACATTGTGATGTACTAGTAGGAATTATTACAGTTGGCATTGAATAGCTTGAATGTGTTAATGTTGTTGTAGTTTTACTGTTGCTACTACTATCACTGCCAGTAGTAGAGCTTGTAGTAGTGCAAGTATTTGTAACAGTAGTAAACACTGAAGATGATTCACCTTCAAATGACCAGTAAGATTTATTTGTATCACTCATTGAATGTATACTTGATTATAGTTTTTAGTCTGTTGAACTGATCAAAAATATTTATCATATTCATATAGCTTTTGTTATACATACATAAAAAAACGTGGATAAATTAATTAACCAATCAGATTTTACGTTCATTAATAATTGCACAATTCTATTAAAAACTTTCTATAGGAAAATTAACTCATTAATATTGACCTTGACTCTACCAATCAAATAATCGTGCGTAGGATGACTAGTCAATTCAGGTTATAATATTCTTCTTTTTTTTTGGTATTATTTTGTTTATCAGTATTAAAATCTTTCTTTATTCATGTCTGCTTTTTAGGCGCTATAATAAACTGTAGGACTGACTACCCACGCTTTATTTTGTTGATAAGTTTTATATCCTTTGTTTATTTTTTCGAATTATATTCAGTCTAAGTGGTATTTTTAATATAAAAGTTAGTAAACATCACTGAAAAATTAGTAATTTCTCTTGAATATGTTCAATGGTGAGCTGATCCAATTTACTTATGGACTATAAAACGCTTATATACATATATAACTTTACATAATTATATACATATACTTATCGGTATATCTACTTCCATGATAATTATTAAATCAGTTTCTTTTTATGGGCAAAGAAATCACCCCACTACTGTTATCTTGTAAATGACAGAAAACAAACTAGTTGCAAAACAAACATGTAAGAAATCTGTATTCTTCTTTTCAGTATAATTTTTATCCATTTTTATACTTATTCATTATTATTTATTCACTAAGAAAAATTACTGAGCAGTTAATTCAAAATCAGAACTGGTAATAATGCCGAGGTTAAGTATTATTGACTGAAACTGTTCTCAGCATATATTTAGAGTGTCAACCTTAGCCTTGGTGAATAATAGTTAAATCCAGAATGTGCATTTCCACCTATTTAGGACTCATCCACTGGATATACCTTAACCCCAGTGAGTGATATTGTTCTCGTCGGAGCTCAAACCCAGTATCCATCGCTTTAATAGCCAGAGCATTTTACACTCAGCTACTGAGGCATGATGGCCACCTTTTGTACAAGAGATATGTATTTATATTTTGCATTTCTACTGAAATAGTTTTTCTTATCTGATCATAAAATCGACTAGTCAAGCAGTGAAGTGATAACCAAATTACCTTGTCACATCATATAAAGTTTTACATACGATTTCAAAAATGTTGCTGAGCTTAATTTCGGCCAGTATAACCATATTTTGACCTTGTAGTTTACATTTATTGGATTTTGATAATATCAAGGCATACATCATCTTTCTTGAGGAGTTTAGCAGTAGTATACAGTGAAATTAACTCGGTTTTTTTATCATATCAACTATTTGTCTAATTATTGAAGTCTTAAAATCTAATTTGGTTGCCTCTAGTGTCATCAAAATAACTGAAAACTTTGATAATGGATATTGAAACTTCAGAACTTTTACATATTTCTGCTCAAATCTACCAGGCATCCTATGAAAAGTTTTACAGGCAGAGTGCAAATTACACAGCATACATATCAGGTAAACAAAATCAGCTCAGAGTAGTGTAAGTTCCAAAAAAGTGACCTTTGATTGACTTCACTTGAGAAAACCGCTATAAGAAATCCTTCTTTAACCACCTTTTTATGTTCAACCAGTTCAGGGATCTATGCATCACAATCATATTCAAGCTGATTAGTTTTAAGAAGCAAAACAAATTAGAATAAGGAATAATTATGAATAACAATCTACTTACTAGGTAACAGTGTTAACAATAGTGCATGTTTCGTCCTATTTTGGACTTATCAGACGGGTATGCCTGCAACCCAATGAGTGACGGTGTTTTCAACGAGACTCACATCTTGTGCCAATTATAGGTTGAAACGGTAAAGTACACCTAATGAATACCCAGGCAAACTCTAGACATACTCACGGCAGCCCATCTGCCAACAAGGTGTTTTGTAAGTGACTGAAGAGTTATGATTCTAGGCATATGTGTGTATGCGTACCTGACCTCTTTGATTGCTTCTTTAAGACGTGGGAAAACAAAATATTTCGATGTTGAACATCAGATGTTCCACGTTTTTCAACTGAATAAATTGATATGCATCAGAACTACACATATGATGTACTCATGACTATTAGAAGTATAGTTGTACTCGCTAGATAACACTGTATAAAGATTGTATACTCCATCAACTGCTGTTAACAATGATATAACAGAAGATTAGAGAAGGTCAAAATGTAAATGAATCCGTTATAGAAGTTTTTGAACTGTAGAGATGAGTTAATTCGATTCAGTAAATGTAGTAGTGAGAAACTGTTAACTTTAAACAGAAAACTTACTAATTGTTGAAAAAGATAGGATTCTCATTTTTCCCTATTCTAATTAAGAAAATTCTGGTGTATCAACCACTTCGTCGCCTAGTTGAAAGATTTTACCGTAATCTATAATTGTATACTAAGCAATTACTAGCCATCATAATACATTTAATGATGAAATTGTATTGTCCAACTTTATTTCTTAATTCATCAGACAACAATGAACACTTTACTTAATAATTGAAGTAAAATGAAATTCTAGATATTTAGCTACTGTAAACCAGAATTTAAAAAATCCATTCAGACAACAGATTTCTGCGAGTTCTGCCTTACTGTTTACACAACATAGAAGAGTATTGAAGTAGGGTTTTCATGGTATTCACTGCTTGAATTTTAAGTCACTTAGGTGTGAAGCTAAACAAACATATTCTCCTTTTTTTGAGATATTTAAGGGAAAGAATAACCAATTAAAACTCAAGACTATACAAAGTTGAGATATCTTTGAGTCAGTTATATTTCTTGACTGGTATCCTATTGATTATTTATCATGAGTAGCATTTAGTAAATGAGTAAACATAAATAATAAATTAGGTGGTCCACTTACTTATACTTATCTTTGTAGATTTAACTCCCTAAATCATACATTATGAAAGAGATAAGAGCTTTTTTCAACATAAAGGATATGATATGAACAATGACCTATCGATATATATATATATATATATATATATATATATACGCTTGAACTTTAAGCTTGAGGTTCCGCCTCTTCATGATCGTTGACCTTCTGAATAAATAGAAAATGTGGTGAGACAACAGAAAGTGTATTGCAACATCAAAACTACATAGAAAATACAAAGGTTTATATATATTTACACTGGCCTTGGTTATTTCAAGGTCGTTCCAGATTTGAATGCGCAGTTGATTTTTCATCCCTTCAACAAATCTGGTATTTATAGCTTGGTTCATATGCTTTCGCCTAAAACTTCAATGCAACATTATTAGTTGTAGAAAGCTCTATGGATTTAGAGCTTTAGATGGAGATTATAGCAATCTAATTTGACACCATAACACGTCTGACAATATAAATGGTCCATTTACTATTTAAACGAAATCTCAGCTCGGATATATATATGGCCTGTTGGAAACTTACCAACTTGTATCATCCGTCGCGCCGACTAGCAAGATATCCGACTGTCTGTTAAAGCAGAAGTATACTGTGCCACAGTGCGTTTTGTTCTATGATACGGCTGTGAGACATTGTCACTGGAAGTAGAATGTATGAAGAGGCTATATGTTTTCAGATAAAACAATAACTGAAATAGAACATCTTCTTTAGAGAAGACGAAACTATAATACAAGGGATACCTCGCAGCCGGAGCTCTCTGCTCCATTAGAATATTCACTCAAAACATTAGGAATAAATGAAACCACTCAGCAAGAAATATTGCAAGCAATCATACCACCAATCAGACAGAAGGAAGATTACATTTTACTTACTACTAAGAAACAGGAAGTATTATTTATTATTATTATATTATTAGTCCCTTGGGTTCCTAGTGGAACATAGGGCTTCACTAGCACGTCTCCAGTGAACTCTGTTCTCTGAGATCTTTTGAACCTGGTCCCACGACAGCTCACAACCTCTCATTTCCTCCTCGTACGACCTCCTCCATGTCACCCTCGGACGTCCAACTCGTCGCTTACCATGGGGATTCCACTCGAGGGCCTGGCCTGACGCGTGATGTCCTCAGTCGGCCTTCTCAGTGCATGCCCAATCCATCTCCACTTCTTCCTGCATATTTGTTGAGTGATAGGTTCTTTGTAGGTTCGTTCCCAGAGCTGCTTGTTGCTTATTCTTTCTGGCCATTTGATCTTCAGTAGCGAGCATAAGCAGTTGTTGATGAATGTCTGTAGTTTATTGGAAGCATTAAAAGACTGAAAAATGAGTAAGACTTAGTTATAATCTCAGCAAAATAAAGGATTCACCAATGTCGTTATGGACAAATAAAATCAGAGGACTAAATCATGGATGAAAATGTATCTCAACAACTTGAAACAACCTCTATCCAAAATTATGGCAAACAGAACATCAGAACCTTGAACAATCTCATCAAAGAAAGAGAACCAACAAAGTAAGACAAATAGCAAGTGAAATCCGATGAAACATTCCTTCCTTAGTTTGACGGCAGAAAAAAAACTCCAAAAAATGGACATCCTTCTTTGACCAGTGGTATCACTTACATGGACCCTAACTTGCAACCTATCCTAAGATTCTTTGAGGAGATTACAACACACTGTGGAACCATGCCGACACTCCACCAGACTGCTGAAAGAATCCTTATGAAGGATTAAAGGCACTGATAAAGAAAAGGAAGGATCAATGGTGTCTTTCGACATCATAACACCATACATATCACTCACTCATGAACACTGTGTCTCTCCTTCTTACTGAAAACACGAGTCTTTCAGAATGCTCAAATATTCAATGTTCACGCTTGATGGAATTAAGTGATCTGATCTTTGTTTGACAATATACTTCCAATTTAATGGCAAGATATAATAACAGATGTAAAGAACTGCAATAGGATCATCCAAATCCAGATTAATTGCAGAAGCAGTGATGCAGAGGCTGGAAACCACCATTTTACCTGTGATCGAACCAAAAATTTGGATCCACAAGGTGGAAAATACTTTTGTTACCATTAAAAATGATTTAGA